AAGGGGAGAAAGGGGGGGCAATAAAGAGATGGGGAGAAAGAGAGGGAAGAATGAGACACAGGGGGAGACAGAGACAGAGAGGGAAGAATGAGACACGGGGAGAAAGAGGGGGAATAGAGAGATGGGGAGGGGGGAGAAAGAGAGGGAAGAATGAGACACAGGGGGAATAGAGAGATGGGGAGGGGAGAGACAGAGAGGGAAGAATGAGACACAGGGAGAAAGAGGTGGAATAGAGAGATGGGGAGGGGGAGAAAGAGACAGAGAGGGAAGAATGAGACACGGGGAATAGAGAGATGGGGAGACAGAGAGGGAAGAATGAGACACGGGAGAAAGAGGGGGAATAGAGAGATGGGGAGGGGGGAGAAAGAGAGGGAAGAATGCCCCCCCTCCCCTGTCCGCAGGCACCGTGCGGGCAGGGGAGGAAGAGAGGACCTGGGAGCTCACCCTGCAGCTCCTCTGGGTCCTTCTTGCGCGAGCACAGAGCGTTGCCGCGGTTACCATGGCAACGTTACTGCTCTTGCGAGAGTCAACTCTAGCCCTGGAGCTACGGGCTAGAGTTCACTCTCAACACTGTAACCCCCATGGATTCCTGGTGGTCGCAGTGGTGAGAGTGAACTCTAGCCCCATAAACACACTGCCCCCACACACACACCATACACATTCACACACTGCCCCCATACACACCATACACATTTACACACATTGCCTCACACACACACACACATACACTGCCCACCCATATACACACAGACCCCATACACAGCCCCCCATACTAACATTGCCACACACATACACTGCCCACACACTCTACACATTCACACACTACACCCCCACACACACACTGAACCTTTCACACACATTGCACCACTGCTCCTATTCCCTACTACAGCCTCATATCCCAGCAGACCCCAGGTAAGTTGTCAAACTGTTCTTAAACGGTTTGACTACTTACTCTGGAGCAGTAGTGGTTATTGTGCATGGATTATTTCTTTAAATAATCTACAAGTGCCCCAGTAGCCAGCCAGCCAACCCACAGGCTGGCCAGTAGCCAGCCCACAGGCCAGTAGCCAGCCCACAGGCCAGTAGCCAGCCCACAGCCTACAGCAAGCCACAGGCTTACAGCCAGCAAGCCATAGCCTGCCAGCCGCAGTCAGCAAGCCCACAGCCTGCCGGCAGTAGCCAGCAAGCCCACAGCCTGCCAGCCGCAGCCAGCAAGCCCACAGACTGCCAGCCAGCAACAGTAATTAAGGTAAGAGGAGCCAACTTGGCTTAGGTATCAGCGAGCTATGTTGTGTTGCTATATTGTGAATAGGAACCAGAGTGTTGGAGAGACCACCCTCCAGGCCCCATTAGACTCTAGCCTCTGCTAGAAATCCCCTCCATGGCCCATTAGCCCTCAATTGTAGTTTCTACTGGGGCCTGGAGGCGACTGTTTCCAGCAGGGGATATCTAATGGACGCTGAGATGGCCTCTGTTAGAAAGACCCCCTTCCAAGCCTTTTAGACTCCATTGTAGTCTCTAATGGGGCTTGGAGGGGATTCTTTCTAACACACCCTCTAAAGGACACTGAGATAGCCTCCGCTAGAAAGACCCCCCTCCATGGCCCATTAGCCCTCAATTGTAGTCTCTACTGGGGCCTCGAAGGGCTTATTGCCCTTTTGTTCCTTGTGTCTAAAGATTGTGTACGGTGTGGCTGGAGGCGGGACAAGGGTGGCGCTTGCTGCAGAGTATGGGTGGAGCCTGTAAGGGGGCCCTTGATTTATTTTGCCCGGGGGCCCTGAGGGTTCTCAGTCCGCCCCTGGTCTTATAAGTAAAAAAAACATATGTTTTATTGTCTCTCCTGGCTTACCTGTGCAGTATGGGGGAGTGCCATCTTTAACCACTTAAGGACCAAACTTCTGGAATAAAAGGGAATCATGACATGTCACACATGTCATGTGTCCTTAAGGGGTTAAACCCTCTTTGTTCAGAAGTGGTTAAAGTTTGCCGCCCCCACACAGCAAGTATATACTGAACAAAATTATAAACGCAATTTATAATTTATAAATGCCCCCATTTTTCAAGATCTAAGACTTTTTTCAAGAAAAAACAAAACAAATCTATATTTAATTTGTGGTCAGTGGCCTCAGTAGGGAGAGGCCGTGGCTGTGGCTTTTGTACACAAAAGGCCTATTTCTCTCAAATATTGTTCACAAATCTGTCTAAATCTGTGTTAGTGAGCACTTCTCCTTTGCCGAGATAATCCATCCACCTCACAGCCCAGGTGTAGCATATCAAGATGCTGATTAGACGGCGTGATTATTGCACATGCAGAACTAAAAAAAATAACAATATTTCTTAATTTCTCCCATTTTTTTTTTTTTTTACATTTTATTCATATTAAATTGTTTCATAGCTAAATATTTGATGTTAAATTAAAGCCCTGTTTCTCCTGAATAAAATGATATATAATTAGTGTGGGTGCATTTAATATGAAAGAGGTGAATTATGGTTGAACAGACATATAGTCAAATTCCAAGTTTTGTTTACGTTTTATTTTGATCAAAACGTGTACCTTTGGCTCAGTCCTTAAGAGTATAAACCCTTTCTACCGGAGTCCAGTGTTTTTTTTTTTTTTTATATTTCCCGTCCATAGAGATCCAAACAGGTGCAGATTTCATATCTTAACCATTTGCTGCTTAGGATCCTGTTTTACTTTAGCAGTTCTCACCACTATCTCCAAAGTCACACGACCTGACCCTAGCCTAGTGACGTGTCTCTCATGGTGACAGGTAAACGTTCCCACAACCGGCCGTGTGAACGCACACTCACCACAAAAAAATCATATCCCATCATAGCTCTTGAGAGGACAGTTGGCTTTGCTCCAGCCTATGGGACAAATCAGATGTATGGCTCACAATGATGACAATGGTGAGAACCAGGTCCATGTGTTATCTGGCTGACACACACAAACCTCCACCAAATGAAATATGACTTGGGAAACGGGCTTTGTGTACAAGGGTCTTAGCTCCGTATTGCAAGGTGGGGCAGAATGTGGCTGCGGTTAGGAGCTGCTTTTAATCACTCTGCACCTTTACCTGTCGCAGGTGAGAGAGAAGAGAACGCGTTTCCTGTTCGACCCTCTCTGGTTTTCATTCACAAATTGTTTATTAGCTTTCGTTTATTAACCACACAGTGCTAATCTCTGCTAGGCTCGTCTGTTAACTCTGTAGCTCCCAGTTCTGCCCTTCCTTTTACAAATATGTTTACTGTCTGACTAAACCCTGTTTTACTTTATTGGCAAGAGCTAAGTAGCAGAACGTAGAGGGATGACTTTTCTAGTGGATTATTCTTCATGGTGGCTTTTGACTTCTTAAATTATAAACCTGTTAAGAGTGGTGCTCACGTTTTGGTATTGTCCATCAATCTTTCACCTCCTGCAGTGAGTGATTGGTCATGCCAGGTGTGAGGTCCCCATAATATGGTTATCTTCAAGGCCTCAAGCACCCCATCACACAATGTCACACATGCTGAAAGTACCCCATCATTTTACCATTCACATCATTGTGCCATGACTTCCATCAGCATCTCGTTTTTTATTTCACCTACTACTGTTATACCTGCCCATTGCACAGTTCTGTTTAAAATGTTAGAGCTTATGCAGAAACTAATTGATGTGTGCCACCTCTGCTCAGAGACGGTGTCGTGTACCAGTTACATTTCTCGGTGGTACTGTTTGCTCCGAATTCACAAGTCTCTTGTTCTCACAACAGGAACCTTTTCTGTCCACTTTTGTAATGAGGGACATGTTCTAAGGTGCGAACACATATGTACTTAGTGTCAGTGGAAAAGCAAATAAATGTTGGAATCCATGTGTGTTCAGTTTTTTGTAAATTCTAAACTGTCAATCTGTCTACTGGTAAGTGCTAATATATAGAGACTTAGTACTTTAGGTTATAACTTGCTTTTTTTTTTTTTACTGGAAAACGTACTCCCTTCTTCACTGTTTTTAATGTTGGTTAAGAAGTTGCAAAGTTTCAATTATTTAGAAGAATGTTTCACATGGCTAACCTGAAATTGATTACCTTCGTTTGGTAAGATATTTACTCCAGCAGAGGTTTTCTGGATTAACTATACTTTATGGGCCATATTCCGTGGTGTTTTTGTCGATCTGGGTATAGCACTCATCCCCTGTTTATTTTTTATTTTTCTGATCTTCCCTTTTACTTTCCCTTCTTCCCTAATTGGGATTTTGCTAGCTCACTGTATAGGTAGAATGGGTATCCAATTAAGTGAAGTAAAACGTACCATGACAGGTACCTTATAAACTGATTTCCTTTACTAATGTGGTTATTACACTGTTTCTCCACTCCTTCCACTGGAAGAGAAACAGTATTTTGATAACCTGCTTCATTGATATGGGAAATTTCTGTCCTTTATTGCCAATGCTGCCTTCACCCCCACCACACTCTACTGCCAGGGTCCCTTCCGTTTGGAACTATTTTAATACCTCTACACTACAAGTTCTTAGTTAAAAGGACACTCTAGTGGGGGCGGAGCCTGACTAGAGAACAGAGCAGACGTGTTCTGAATCAGCTCCTGTGTACCGAGCATAAAAACGGCGAATAACTCAAGCCGCACTGCGCTCACCCTTCTACAAGTGGGCCCACTGGACTTGGGAAACCGACACGAACCCAAGGACACCACACTCGAGGTCCGGTGTAAGAGGGCACCGCATCGGCAGACTGGGGCCTACAGAGGGAGGTGGCGGAGAAAGGCAGCCGCTTTCC